TCTCTCTCTCTCCCCATCACCCACACACACTTTCACACCTACACACACACACACACACACACACGCACGCACAAACAAACAAACAAACAGAAGAAGGAAAACATAGTACACCACCTCCCCCACATTGCCACAAGCGTTCTTTGAGGTCCACGTAGAGCCCCGCGGCGAGTGGCCCGCACAGAAATAGCCTCGAACACAGAAGCTTGGCTGTATCCTCGTATCCTGCCAGCATTAGGCCAGATAACGTGCGCTCAGGGGAGACATACAGAGGCAGCTTTTGTCCTGCCCAGTTCGGATCCTCATCGGTTTCAGGTCTGTCAGTCTGTCGGTCGGTATGTCCGTCTACCGGCCCTTCAGTTTGTCGGCATGCTACGTCTGCTTGCCGTTGCCGCCGTAATCGTGACGTGGGCGACAAGGGAGATAATTTCTGCCCTGATTTTTTCTTGAAGATTTGGGTGTGTTTGGATGGGGATGTTGGTTAGGTATGTGAGGGAAGTTATAAATACTCTAAGGTTCTAGGGTATGTGCCAGTTTTGTTGTTGTTATGTTTTTAATCGAGAGAGAGAGAGAGAGAGAGAGAGAGAGAGATTGGGGGGGGGGGGGTGAAGATGGGGTTTATCGAGATAGTAATTAGGGAGTAGGTAACAGGGGATCTGGATCTTGTTATTTATGTTCCTATCTAATAATCTTCTTTAAAAGTCTTTGATCGTCCACAAAAAGAGCCCTGTCCGAGCAAGATTTCCACTGAAAACATAAAAAACCCCAACTGTTTTAGTTACCGGTTGCCTGTACCCATTTATTTACTCGCTGTCGCACCCCCACCCAGCCCATCTTCTTTCGAGTTGAGATGCTTCCGTCACTTTTTCTTTGTCATCCTAATTCACTTGTATGGTGCACTCTAGTGTCGCCTCTAATCTTTGGCCCGTATGCGACCTAATTGTGTTGGAAGTGCCGTAAAACTCTTACTACTAAAACTTTGTACAACTCAGACATAAAACTATATCCTTTCATTTGAAAGAATAAAAAACAAATGCTGCTAGAGATGGGCATTAACGACAAAAGCAACAACGAAAAAAACAAACCAAAACAGAAAAACCCCGAGGCTCTCAAACCATTTGACTTGGTTCTATAGGAGTTGGACGTTAAATGCGGAGGTTCCGTCTCTTTAAAACGGCTTTATGCCCTTTCACATACTACTCTATGGCCTGGTTTTGTTCCTAAGTGAATTTGGACGTTAAACTCGGAGATCTGGTCTCTTGTATAACCGGCGTCGACCAATTACACCAGAAAATCATTTCTCTTTGATAAGTGGGGACCGGTAGAGTCTGTAGCCTACTACTAGTGGCTAGGCAAACGTACCCGTAATCGTGAAATTGCGGATTCGGGGGGTTCGAGCATCAGCTCTATCCGACATTGTGTCCTTGGGGAAAAGCATTCAACACGAAATTCCCATTTGGCCTTGTCTTTTCGGAGACTGACTTTAAACTCGTAGGTCCCACTTCTATAGTAGCCTAATAGTGTTGATAGGTGCGTTAAATCTATACCCTATACCGTTTTACTTCATTTGTATGTTTGTCACTCTCTTATGAACTGATATTTCCGAAGTGCCTTGATAGTCGAAGCAGGCTTTGTGCTGTTGAGGCTAGAGAGGTGAACAGAGTAAGCCTGTTTCCCCGTTTGGACTTCTCTGTTACCATCCACCCGTTGGCGCTCATATGACCTTTTGCTGTTGCGAGCGCCGTACACCTCACTGAAAGTGGGTGGGTGGCGGGTGCTCTGGTGTGGTTTGCTTCTTCTTTCCCATCTAACATCTATCGTCCTTATCTCCCCTTCTTCTTTTTTATGTTTGTTACTCTCTTGTAACACCTAATCTTTTTGCGCTCATATAACCTTGTGCAGTTGCGAGCGCCGTAAAACCTCTATACTAAAACTTTTTTTTTAAACCTCACTGAAACAAACAAAAAGTGGGAACCCTGGTAGTAAACTATAAGCTTGTTGTGTCCTCAGGTGAGTCCGGTCTGGGCAAGTCCACACTGATCAACTCTCTGTTCCTCACGGACCTCTATAGCCAGGAGTACCCCGGACCCTCACACAGGATACAGAAGACGGTCAAGGTAGGTGTACGCCACTGTCTGTCTGTCTTGTCTGTCTGTCTGGGTCTGTCTTTCTCATTCTATTTCTCGCTCACATCCCCGTTCTTTCTCTCTCTCTCTCTCTCTCTCTCTC